CTGCGACAATGTCATCTGACGGAATGCTGCCCGTACGCTGGCGACCGATCATCGGTCCCCGGCATTTGCAGTAGCAGGCTCTCTAACGTCTGGGAACCCGCCTCCCCAACGGCAGATGAATTCACGGGTAACCCCAGCTCTATGCACAGGTGCAGCAGCGTGTCATCGCTGAATTGTGCATTAACTATGTGATAAAATATGTCACCACAGGTACATTGCCAGAAGACAGCCATCATCTCCCAGGGCACTACAACACCGGTATAAATTACGCCAGCACAAAGGCAGCAGCCCTGCTGCCGCCCTGCCCTGTCAGCACCTCTCCTAAACCAGTTGTCACCGCGCTTCACGTCTCCCACGCCCAGCGGCTCACGCACTCCAGTCACAGAGCGGGCACCATCAGGCAGCGTGCGAAACACGACAGCCCGGCACCGACGACATATCAATAACGATGTCGGGCGTCCGCCAGCCGCTGCAACCCGGCCGGCGCAGCAAGAGCACTTCATGTGACATAATCCCACCAGCAGTCTGCAAAGTCATTTACTGTGTCAGGAAGTGCCCACTGGTTGTATCAAAATCGACGTCTGACGGCGGGGCGATGCATCAGAGGCATGCGCTAATGATACGGCATCTTTTCTCGTAGTTCCGCCGCTACGCTGGGTATGAGCGTTCACCATTGCACCTGCGAACCAACGGAGGGCCCCAGTTCACAAGCCGGGACTTTGCCGCGTTCCTCGACCGATGGGGAGTCCGGCATGTGTTGTCACCGCCTCATTACCCACAGTCCAACGGCCATGCTGAGGCTGCTGTCAAATCCCTGAAGCACCTCATCCTCAAAGTGGCCCCTTCTGGGAATATTGACTGCGAGGCCTTCGACCAGGGTCTCCTTGAGCTCTGCAACACACCCAATTACACCAGACGCTCCCCTGCCTAGGTCTTGTATGGACGCCCCCTCCGTTCTTGTGTCCCTGCTAACCCTCAATCCTTCTCCAAGGAGTGGCAGGCCAAGACAGAGGATTGTGATCGCCGAGCCGCCGAACGTATTCAAGACGTCGTCGCCCGCCACAACGACCACGCCCGTCCTCTCCCCAGGTTGAGTGTCGGCACCCAAGTCCGTGTCCAGGACCCGCCCTCCCTACGTTGGGACAAAGTGGGCTTAGTCATGGGTCTCGGCAGGTCACGGGACTACCAGGTGCAGTTACCCAGCGGTCGGGTGTGGTGGAGGAACCGCCGTTTCCTCCGCCCCGTAACGCATCCCACTGACCCCGTCACCAGTGCTGAGTCCCATATCCCCCCCCAGTGATTATGCTCCTCGACGCTCAGAACGGATCCACAGGAAAAGGTCCGCTCAAGACTTTGCTATGAGCGTATAGGGGGGGAGGTGTATGTATATTATGTATGTTGTATGTATACCATGCATGTACTCTATATATACACATTATTTCTCTAGTCAGTAGCGTGTGGTAATGCCCCTGTTTCATGTCACCACATGCTTAGATAAATGTGCCTGTCGACATTTGGAAGCTGCTCGTGAACCGCTTACCACATGTCGCCTGAGAGGTCAGAGTGAGGTCAGTTGACCCTATAGGAGTGTAAGGACTACCGGCGCTTGTAAGCGGACTCCTGTATATTTCCGTTAATAAGAAACTACAAAACTCTACAGGTGTTTATGTTCGCCCCTGTAGTTAGAACCAAGTACCCCGAACATCTCCATATATATATATAATATATATAAAGAAATGACTGCAGTCAGTGTGTTCGTGCGAGTGTACCCGTGGGCGGTAGGAGGGTGGAGGGAGGTGGTTGGGGCGGGGGTGTGAGCGCAGTGCTTCAGTTACTCTCTAGGCACAGCCAGGAAGGTTGCGCGCTCACCAATGCCCTGAACAAGCCTTCCACCGTGGGGAATCCCTTAAAACAAGGACACACACTTATGCACAACACACGCGAGGGCACTTAAGACACTTCACAGGAACTTGCGGTCACTGTACACTGCTCAAAACTCGTTGGTCATTCAAACGAATTTTTGTGGGTGACAATGCGAGATGAGGAGAGCGGGGTGATGGAGTGAGTTGATGGAGCGGGGTCTACCGGTCTTGATTTTACATGAACGCACTTATTTCCACTTAATCTATCACTTGATACTCACTGCGCCATGGAGATGTTCAGGGTACTTGGTTCTAACTACAGGGGCGAACATAAACACCTGTAGAGTTCTGTAGTTTCTTATTAACGGAAATATACAGGAGTGCGCTTACAAGCACAGGTAGTCCTTACACTCCTATATGGGTCAAGTGACCTCTCTCTGACCTCTCAGGCTTCATGTGGTAAGTGGTACATTAGCAGCTTCCAGATTCGTCAGGCACATTATCTAAGCGTGTGGTGACATGAAACAGGGACATTGCCACACGCTACTGACTAGAGAAGTAATGTATATAAATGGGGTACATACATGGTATACATACAACATACATAATATACATACAGATGGTGTTATATGTAGTGATGATGGATGATGTTATATGTAGTGATGATGAATGTTGTTATATGTAGTGATGATGGGTGGTGTTATATGTAGTGATGATGGATGGTTTTATATGTAGTGATGATGGATGATGTTATATATAGAATATGAAAAGTATCCCTCTGTTGTCATTGGCAACATGGATAAGAAATGTGAATACTGCTGTGCAAAGAAGTACAAAGGAGAATCTGCTGGACTGTGCTGCTCTCATGGGAAAGTACGACTGCCAAATTTGGAAAAACCACCACAACCATTGAAGACTCTCATGTTGGGAACAACACCAGAGTCAAAACACTTCTTGGAAAATATACAGAAGTACATTTCATGCTTCCAGATGACATCCTTTGGAGCTACCAGAGTAGTTTGTGAGCACGGATACATGCCCACATTCAAAGTCCAGGGTCAAGTCTATCACAAAGCAGGATCCCTCTTATCACTGGAAGATGAGCAGGCAAAGTTCCTCCAAATCTACTTCATGGGAGATCATGAAAAGCAGACTACTATCAAGTGTGGCAACATTCAAGGTGTCAGACATGTCCTATCTATCCAAGAAATGTTGCATGAGCGAATGAGCTGCCCGGACCAAACTTGGCATGGATAGCAAGTGTTTCCTTGCTTCTCTCATGGACAGTTCTATGTTGGATGCTCCAGAGTGGGAACTGGCAAAAATCTGTGCATACTTGCTGCTAATGGCAAAACCAAAAATGTGGTCTACCTTAATGGCGTCCTACCGTGTGTGTCCGCACGAGAATCTCGGAAACTACTTTACCGATCTGTAGTGATGATGGATGGTGTTATATGTAGTGATGATGGATGGTGTTATATATAGTGATGATGGATGATGTTATGTGTAGTGATGATGGATATTGTTATATGTAGTGATGATGGGTGGTGTTATATGTAGTGACGATGGATGGTGTTATATGTAGTGATGATGGATGGTGTTATATGTAGTGATGATAGATGATGTTATATGTAGTGATGATGGGTGGTGTTATATGTAGTGATGATTAGACAACAAAATAATAACAGTTTAATGCTAAAAAAAATATACTTTGATGTACTGTTGTAGTGAAAAACATGGTGTAACTTACATCCATCATCACTACATATAACATCATCCATCACCACTACATATAACATCATCCATCATCACTACATATAACATCATCCATCATCACTACATATAACATCATTCATCATCACTACATATAACACCATCCATCATTACTACATATAACACCACCCATCATCACTACATATAACACCACCCATCATCAATACATATAACAACAGACTTTATCACAACATATAACATCATCATCCATCATTACTACATATAACATCATCCATCATCACTACAGATCGGTAAAGTAGTTTCCGAGATTCTCGGGCTGACACACACACACACACACAAACACGCAGACATACTTCTTTGTTTTATACATATAGATATATAATCAGCATTAGAGGATAATTACGAAAGGGTGATAATTTATATTCATTTTTTTTCTCGATAATTTGACACTGGTGTGCAAAAAGGGACGATCTGTAGATGATCTTAGCTCATACTGAATATGAATAGGATCTTTGTTAAACTATCCAAACCTAGCCTAATTTAGTCTAGTTGTTCATGATAGTGAACGACGTCATGGTGGAACACTCAAGTTTTACCTTCTGTGAAATATTTTTTCGTTTAGTTTTAGCAATAATTTTTTATTTTGAAAAGTTCAAATTCATTTTAAAGCCTAATCTGTACGTAATTTATATGAGTGAAGCAGATCGGTAAGAAAATCCTGCTCTTGTTAAAAATAAATCTAATTTGTAGGATGGCAGATAGTACCGATGCTGAAATATTGTCATGCAAAGAACAATAGTATTCAAAGATCCGCCAGCAGTATACCAGCCGTAGTTTACCCGGTGTGCAATATTTTACCCAATTGACGAGGAAAATCGATTGACAGTGACACTACTACTTCAGAAAGCATTTTCATGTTTCTTGATAAAACCATTGAAAAATGTGTTGTTGTTGGCAGCCATATTAGATACCCCCCACATGTCAATATTCCAGTTTGGGTCCACATCTGGCTATCATATATAGTTTCACCTACCTATATGTCAGATTTCATCTTTCAAATTAAAGAAAGCAGGATTTTTTGAGTATTTGTAAGCAATTTGACTGCACTCTACATAAATATAACATATTTTTATGTTGCAAAGTTGGCAGTTTTGGTCCTGCATATATTAACAGTGTTTTTGTCACAGCCTGGTTACCCCTTAAATTAATTTGGTTAATATGACGGGTAAAGACGCTTGGTCGAAAGATAAATACACCTGTACAAGATTTTTTTTCATGTCAACAGATATCCCTCTGTACCTGCAGTTACTGAGCACGCTCACCTTCTATGCTACGGGTAAATCGGATTGCGCGGCAGTCATGCTTGGTGTCAGCAGGAGGTGCGCTAAGGTCTACATAAGCAGGATGTCCAACGCCTTGAATGCTCATCTGTGGAGTTGCATTGCCTTCCCAGATAGTCAACAAAGGGCCGTCTTCCAGAGAGACTTTCAAAACATAGCTCAATTGACTAATGTCGTTGGATGTGTTGACAGCATGTTTATTCCAATAAAGGTCGGTTTGGGTACCGAAGCAGGTATCAGTGACGTAGATTACGGGTGCCAGTACATATTAATGGTGGTGGTGTGTGGTCCGCAGTTCCAGATCATCAGTGTCATGGTCCATTTCTGCTGTCATGAATATGACTGGCAAATATTTCGCGGGAGTGCGCTCTGTAACACCATCGAAGTGGGAGAGTTAGGGGACGCTGTTTTTCTAGTCGATGAGTATTATCCAATTGTGCCTAACCTCCTCAGGCCCATAGATGAACCTCAGGATGAATCCGAAGTGCTCTTCAACTTGTCGCACTATGTGACGCGTCAGGTCACTAGCGGGATGTTCCACGCACTGACACGCAGGTTCCCGTGTCTCAAGATTCAGATGGAGCCCATACCGCCCACTAATCTGAAAGCTGTAGTGGCGTGCATCATCCTGCATAACCTGAGTCTTCGATACTCTTCTCCCCTACCAAGCAGTGAGGCTGCGCTGGACGAGCACCTCTACTATAATGATATCCGTCAACAAGTGTACCACTCAGCCACCAAGGAGGAGTGACGTGCCTACAGTACTAGCTGTGGTGCTACCATTGTTTTCTTTAGTTTTCTTTGCCAATTTTCATGTTTGTTAAAGTAAATATCTTTTTTACATTATGTAGTACATACACCAAATACGTGTAGTAAATTTTTAAACGATGAATATTCAGCTCTTTTACATTAATATATTGCAGTAATACGTTTTATAACCGTTTGAGGTGGTATTACTCTTAACTAACAGCGATGAACAACTTTCACATAATTAAGAATAACTACGGTGTTATATTTTTTTCTGATTTTTTATTTTACTCGTATCAGCCTAATTACACGACCTGAGGAACGTCCACGAGGTTATGTGTAGTCACTTGAACATGCAAACAATCATACAAATACCTCATACTTATTTACATACACAGTATATCGTAACTCGTAGAAATGTACGCACACAATCACTCATAAAACATACATATAGTCACCTATATATGCACAATCACTTACATACATACATACATAGCTACAAAATCCCACATACATTCACAATCACTTTAACGTATGCATTAATAAATACTCATAGACAAGCAAGCAACGTTCATTGCAACGACGTCTGCTTAATAAAGTATAAATAAAAAAATAAGGAACAAAGTTTTGATCTTAACATATAAAAAAGGAACTTGCTTTTATTTTCCCAATAACACACTAAATTTACTGTACACCTTGTGGCTCTTGTGACGGTCTTCACGAAAAACGGTTGTCACCCATCCAGTAAATATTGAAATCTGATTGGTGACACCGTCGATAGGGATCTTCCTTGGTACGAAGAGTTTCTGGGGCGATGGTGGTGAACTTCAGCATCACCTCCCCCTGGGGAGCAGGAAAGCCCACTTGAGTGAGCAGGCGGAGTGTTGAGTCCTGAAGTAGAGATCAGTGACGGAAGAACCAGGTCGTCCGTGTGCTCAGATGCAAGTCCCTAGGAAAGGCGAGACGAAGAAGGTGCGACGAGGCAGGGAGACGAAGGGAATTCCCTATGTCCATCGTCAGCCGAGGGTCGGTCATTGAGCCACATGTAAGCTCACTTGGGGACCCTGATGGCAGGAGGTCACCCTCTACAGCTCCAGACGGGATGCGAAGGGGAGCCGTAGCCCCTGCAGAAGACCCTGACTTCTGAGGTTTCTGCTTCTTAGACTTGTCCTCAAGATGAAAATCTTCAGCATCACTGTCACCTACTGCCGCCGTCTCCAATGAACGGGAGCGTTTAATGGCAGGCATACGGCACGTTGGAAACACTACAATCAGGAAGATAGTTTGGCTTGTTTGAGGTGGAATGGTAAAGACGTCACTGCTGCGTCACACTTCACATTGCGCATTCGTAAACTTAAAAATCTTCGACCAGAGGGACCGGATGGTAAGATCAGATATATATATATATATATATATATATATATATATATATATATATATATATATATATATATATATATATATATATATATATATATATATATATATATATATATTATATATATATATATATGCTGATAACCACAAGGAAAGAAGAAAACACGAAGTTCCCAAGCGCTTTCGTGTAATTCACATCTTCAGGGGTGAGTACAGACTAGAGAGAGTACGATACGATACGAGTCATTAGTTAAGAGGTGAAAGAAGATTATTAGGAATTGAAGAAAAAGTGGTGAAACTGAAATACAGTAGGAGTAGAAAGAATCTGGGCTCAACCAGATCGCTTCATCTTTCTTATTGGTGTTTTGTCTTTGTTCTGCTCCCTTGGGTCGTCAGACCTTTGTATTAATATTGGTTTATTTATATAATGCTGCTTATTATTATTATTTTTGTTATTGTTGGAGTTAGTGAGCCCGCCCAGGTCCTTGTGTAACTGGGAGGGTAGTCACATTTTTTTTTTTTTTTTTTTTTTTTTTTTGGAGGTGTTAGTTAAGTGTTAGTTGTGTTAGTCTAAAGGTACACTGTATGGAGAGGCCTGCCAGGTTCTTAGTGGAGCTGGTTGGTCACTCTCATCTTTATTCCTCTAGTAATGTTTTATGTAGAAATGTGTATATTGAGGCAGGAGGTGGTTCAATTACTTCTTCCTGGCTGATATAACTGAGAGGGTAATCACATTATTATTATTAGTATTATTAATATATATATATATATATATATATATATATATATATATATATATATATATATATATATATATATATATATATATATATATATATATATATATATATATATATATTTTTTTTTTTTTTTTTTTTTTTTGAGCCCGCCCAGGTCCTTGTGTAGCTGGGAGGGTAGTCACATTTTTTTTTTTTTTTTCTCTTACTAAGATGTTAGTTCAATGTTAAATGTTAAATGTTAAATGTTAAATATTAGTTATGTTAGTCTAAAGGTACACTGTATGGAGAGGCCTACCAGGTTCTTGTGGAGCTGGTAGGTCACTCTCATCTTTTATTCTCTCTATTAATGTTTTATATGTATATTGGGGCAGGAGATGGTTCAATTACTTTCTTCCTGGCTGATTTAAACCAACTGTGTTCTTGGAATCCTTCGTTGTCTATATTATTTATCCAGTTTTGATATGTTTCTGTGTTAAGTTCAGTCACTTTTTTCCAAATATTTACAGCTTTGTTGTGTATATCTACATTGATTGCTAAGAGGTTTGCTCTCTTGTGTAGCTGTTCATTATTGATGTGGTCTGTATATTTTATGTTATATATAAATCTGAGGGCTATATTTTGTACTGTTTGTATATATACAGAGGAGGGTGAGACCAGGTCCACAATGGTCAGGTATTAGGTAATGACCCTACTAATCTTTAAATAGCACACAACGGTTGGTGGTCAGGTCAGATGGTCAAGTGACCCGGCCTTCTCACCTGATCACAAATCTTCTTAATTACAAAATTGTCCAGCTTGTACATGCCGTTACTCAAATTCATGTTGAATGCTTCGGTATGTTTAATAAGACTAGATTCTATGATGTTCCTACTGTCAATTGACTTACATGGTAATATTGAGGAGGCATTATCCCAGTCAATGCAATGCTTGTTATCCCTCAAATGAACAAACAGAGCATTGGATTCCTGGCCTGTCCTAACACTGTATTTGTGTTGTTTAATTCTAGTTGCAAGATCTTTACCTGTCTGGCCTAAGTAAAACATATTACATTCCTTGCAAGGAACTTTATAAATGCAACCAATTGTGTTGTTGGGGGAGTTCTTGATTAACATTTGTTTAACAGTGCATGAGTTTTTTAAATGCCACATTGACGTTCCAGGTTTTTAGCTGTGCAGGAATGTGTGAGAAATTTTTGTGAAATGGTAATATTAAGATATTCTTATGGTCATGGGTGGGCTTGGGGTCAGTTCTATAAAAGTTTTCTTAGTAATGTTTAAGCATTTGTCTATGAAAGATCTAGGGTATTTAAGGTTTGAGCCAATATTATATATATATTTGTATTCCTCATCGATGAATTCCGGACTGCACTTGAAGATGTGAATTACACGGGCTTTGGGAACTTCGTGTTTTCTTCTTTCCTTGTGGTTATCAGCATATACCTAGATCACGCACCTGCCAGTGATTTACTTTTATATATATATATATATATATATATATATATATATATATATATATATATATATATATATATATATATATATATATATATATATATATATATATATATATATATATATATATATATATCACTGTAGGTGCTCGTGATCTAGGTATATGCTGATAACCACAAGGAAAGAAGAAAACACAAAGTTCCCAAGCGCTTTCGTGTAATTCACATCTTCAGGGGTGAATACAGACTAGAGAGAGAAATACATAACAAGGCAAATATATATATACAGTAGAGGAAGGTGAGAACAAGTCCACAATAGTCAGGTTATTAGGTAGTGACCCTACTAACCCAAGTTAGCCTTCATCGACTACGACTAGGGTACAAGTACACCTTGCAGACGATCGGAAATTTCGCCAGGGAATGCACCTACTGTCAGAGCCAGGCGTACAACCCACTGGATCACTATCTCTCGACTGCGAAGTCACACAAAGACTCCGAAACAGAATTTCGAAACTTCCAAGAAGAACACACACAACACCAGTGGCCAATTTTACCCGAAAGGCCCAAAATGAAAACCACATCCACCACCTTCTATGGGTCATCACACGATACCCACTTCACTCCAGATAGCTTGGGAAGTATCCTCCCCAGCAAGTGAGGACCCGTTCGGGGCGCCACTCCGAAACTGACCACGTCCAAGAGTGGTGGTTGGTGGTAAGCGCTCACTGACCGAGGGTCGCTCATACTTGCAAACCTGCAGTACCCCTCCCTATCTGCAGATAGGACAACCTCCATCCCCAAATCCCAATTCCGGTCTGGCTGCTCCAAGAGCTCTAGCCGGAACCACCAAATGGACCGCCTACAGGCAAAGGCCCGTGTCTGACTACGGTCCGACAATCTGAACAACAACAACAGCAGCAGTGAGATCATTTCGACTCCCGGACTCGGAGCTGTGAAGACCTGCCATCTCTGCTGCCACTGTTGGCCACCTTTGCTGACCGGACCCTCCGCCACTGACATCGTCGACATCATCTCTCGTGCGTTTTCGGTTTATCGATCATTAGTTCGCCCTCCCCACTGGTGTGAGTGACCCACACTCCAGCTGGAGAGCAGCTATAGCGTGATATTCCCGACGTGGTTTGAGCTCTTTTCCTTCTACTACTAGTTTTCCTTTTTTCGCTCTGGCCTAGGGACCTGCACCCTCAAAGTGTATTCGTCCTGCGGTCCCCCCTGTAACTGTTCACCTCCCTCCCAGGAGATTGTGAACACGAAAGGGGATTGGAGCAAGAACCCATCCCTTTTGCCGAGTCTTTCCAGGAAAACCTTGATCGTACCTTGTCCACCTGGAAAGAGGATAGCAAACCTCATCCTTACCAAATAGGCACACTTAGCTCACGTCCATAAGTGAACAGTCACATACACTAGGAAGTAGGTTCC